ACATAAAATGTGCAATGTCTGGCATAATATTGATCTTCCTATTATCTTACTCTAATACTTTTCTACGTAGGATAATGGAAAGAATCGATTTACGCCAAGAGAAAGAGAAACTTTATATGGTTCTATTTAAGAAAGTGCGGTTACAAGTGCATCAATATTGTTCGTAAAAATAGAATTATAGAATGATAGATTACATTAATAATAAATAGTGAGAAATTTTCCTTCATTTTTTCTATTTTTACTTAGAAAAGAGCTATAACTCTCGGCTCAGTTACAAAAATTACTCTGTACATACTATGTGTCAAACTCTAAAATGTATTCTAATAAGCATAATGCTTCTCACATTCACTTACTAAATAGATATGTAATTAAATAAATATATTAGTAAAATTTTTTTATATTTTTTATGTCATTTTTATAATAAATATATAATAGAATAAAAATGTGTAATAAAATTATGTTTTAATTAAAAGGCAAATTAATTTTGAGAGAGAACAATTTAAAGTATAGAAAGTTGATGTGTTCTGGAAGATAAAATCACAAATTTCTTTACCCGCTAATTTTATTCATAATACAATAAATGTTTAAATTTTATTGTTTTATATAGGATATATTGGCCACGATATGCAACTGGTATATCCAGTTTCGCGGATACGATAATCCAGTTTATCCTTGCGTGCAGCAATTACATAACTGTATTTCTAATGGACGATCGACCCCAACGTTATACATTTCACATGTGTGTATACATATATGTGTGAATATATATGTATGTATTTTTTATGTTTTTAGTGTGTTTATTTTAGCTACAAAAAGTTGCAGAAGCTGCAAAATACGTGGCTGTCTTTTCCGCTGGCTATTTATTTTAGTTTCGTTTTATTTAATTTGTCTTTATTATTTCGTTTTAGTCTATTAAAGAAAAATTTTAATATTAATGTAAAAAATATAATATAAAATTAGCTATACTTATCTGAAAAATTCTAATGTCACAAAAATGTCCATAATATAAAACAATTAGATTCTAATAAAATTTATATTCATCGAAAAATTTATAATTGTCCCAAAGATCGTTACAATCATTTTTCATAGCGCTGCATAACATGCGTAAAATGTATGTCTTTCTTGATTCAGCAATTTTACGTTGGTTTCTGATTGTTACTGAATGAAATCGCGCGATAAGGATTAATAGAATTCGTTGGTGAGAAATTAAACAACTGACAAGGTTTTATGATTCAATCATTTTCGATTCATATTTTGTTTTCTTTTTTCCTATATTAAAAAATTAGCAATTTATGTTTCTAGCACAAATATATAGTATACAACATATTTTTTTTTTTTATTTTACGATCACAATACTCGTTAGAAATATGATCGATCAACCGTGAAACGTGAATACGCGATAGGAAGTTATTTTTAATTCTAATAAAATCAAATTAAAGAAGAATCTTTATATATATACACGGAGAAAATTTTATAGTAAATATTACTATGGTGTCGCACTAGCTGCGGACCATCAAGATGCACAAGTTTAAATGCTATACTCTTATAGTAAAATTGCTATGTACATAGCATTTAGTGCTACGATCATGCTATAATTACAGCATTAAATGCTATGATCGTAGCACTAAATGCTATGGACATAGTAATTTTACTATAAGACTATAGCATTTAAACTTGTGCGTCTTGATGGTCTTCAGTTGGTGCGACAGCATAGTAAAATTTAATATAAAATTTTCTCCATGTATATATATATATATATATATATATAAAGATTCTTCTTTAATTTAAACGTACTATTAAATATACGTGTATATTACACGTATATTTAATAGTACGTTTTACTTTCAAGATTAATATAATAATGACGCATGTGTAAATTGCATTACAGCGAAAAATATGACTGTGCTGAACCACATGATATGTAACAATCGTTATAGTTATCTTCGTAACAATTAAATTTATATGTGTATGTGTGCGTGTGTATACATGCGTGCGTGCGTGCGTGTATATCTATGCCTATGTAATGTTAAATAAAGCAAACAGAAGCAAAATAATAATAGATGATAAAGGAAAATATATCTAGCAATTAAAAATTTATTTATCTTATTTTATCTTGTAATTTTATATAAGTATTACTTAAAATTAGTAAATAAAAATAAAATAAAATTTGCAATGGTTTTAATAACCACGGTTTTAATAAGATTATAAAATCTAATAACTCTAAAGAATCAGATCTTTACAAGTAGAATTTTATCTCGGAATCTTAAAGACAACTTTCACATTTCAATCGGTTGTAATTATCTCCTAAATTGTTAAGTCGACAAGATGGTAGCGATTCGATAGAGTATGCACTCTTCTCATTTCGAATCAGTATTGTTTCCTTCGATTGAGATCGAGATCATTTCCGATCCCACAACGTCAATTCCCGAGAAAGCGTGGGAATTTTTTTCCATTTGTTCTTTCCAGACATCCTAAATCAGCGACATAGCCTTCCTCCGTCCTTATCCATCCTTTTTGCCTCAAATATTTGAAATGTATCTCGCTTTTATGCTATCTCTTCCTTCTCTTCTGACAAAACGGCCTTTTGAAGAAATTTCAAAGCCATGAGAACAAGCAACATCATATTTTTTACAGTGTTAAAGTATAGCGCGGATAAATTTAAAGGCGTTATTTTATCAGGCTATTACATTCAATATGTCATTTTTACATTAACAATTTTTAAATAATTTTTGAGAGAAAACAGAATAGATTGTATAATTATTATATCCACTATAGTCTCCCATATTTCTCAAAAGTTTTTTCAAAAGTTGCAAGCATTTCTTAAAAACAGAATCATATTTCTGTAATAAAATTATGTCACATTAATGTATGTGTAATAATACTTTGTTAGTGTGTGTCAGAAAACTCCAACTACTTTTTTATAAAATAAAAATTTGTATATGAATATAATGTTATTTTATAGATTTATGATGTTTTTTAATTTGACAACATTAGCGACCACATAACTAATTGTTAATAATTAATTAATTAATTAGATGGTCAATTATAGTGTGGATTTACAAACAGCGACAGTCAACAGATCGATGAACAAATAAATAAATGGACATATTAAAGTTGACAAATGTTAATGAAGTTGACAAATTTAATGATGATTTAAATATTAATTAACTTATAATTTAATTATACGTTGCATTACAAATATGTAGAATTAATGTCTGCGTTTAATTTTTGAAATGCATTATCATTATTTAATGCAAGCAGCATTCCGAGAATTAGCCGCAAGGTGACACGAGATGACGAGAAACGCTAACGTAACATACGATGAATGGACACATGCTGATGACGCATTTCCCTCTGTAATTCACCATGATCTAATGCGCTTTATGGTTTCTCGTGCGTAATACAATAATGAATTTTACATAAAAAAATGGAAGAAAATGTAATAACTTCCATTCCTTCAGAAAAGCCTGAAATTGATTCTGCAGCGAAAATATTGATGCAAATATCAAATAATATTACAGTTTTCTATATTTCGCATATTATAATTATATTTAATTTTAAGCGAATTTTATCTAAACAAAATTTTAATTTGCGCTTAAGAAACAGGAATGTACAAAATGTTCTATTTTATTTGTATCAATCTTAATTTTAATAATATATTTTTCTATAAATTTTTGTCAGCAAAACATCGATTTCCTATAACTTTCATAACAGCTTTAATTTAAAATTCTAATATAACAAAATTTGCTTCTCTCAGATTATTAAAAAAAATACATTGTGTTAACTATCTCAATCTGAAGATTAACTCGAGAAAAGTAACGTAACAAAAGTGAAATAAAAATTCTTGCGCGATGCCTATTGACTAGAACTAGAAGGATCTCGTAGCATTTTTGTTTAATCAGTTTAATTAGGTTCGCATTTTGTTTAAGTTTTATCAAATACCAGATACGCAATTCTGTGTGCAGTCTTTGATAATTACGTGTCATCACGGAAATAGGGCGCCATCGTAACTGCAATCATTGCGCTTCCGCCATTGCTGTATAATCACGTTCATAATGCACTGAAGCGACCTTCACATCTCACGAAATATATAACAGCATTAATAAGAGAAGTCTTTGAACTTGATAAAGAAATTCTTAAGTTTAGATTTCAGTACTAAGAATAGAATTTGGAGCACTTGGGAAATCTAGCTAAAGATAAAAAAAAGTATTTATCAAAGGAAGAGTCATGAAAATTTGATAATCCGGAGTCTTTCTATTGGTCTACTTTTCCGACGGCAATGTCTCCAAAAGTATTGTTGAAATAACGAAGCGAGAATTATTCCGGGTAGAACAATGATGTGGGATCGAATAGACCCAACAACAACCTTTATATGCGTTCTCTACCACGCGATTATAACGAAACGTAATTCCATCGTTCCACGAAGGTGCCATGGAACATCGTGCACCTGTACCAACAACATTTCCGATGTACGTGTGTGCGTACACGTAAACAGATACATACACGCACGCCGAGATTACGTATGTTCGTTCCGACTGTCATCGGTATAATTACGTTTGCAAACGGCAAACGCACTCGTGCATGCGCCGCCGACTCGCATCCCGCAACGCCTAAAGCGTCACTCACATCGAAGAAGAGAAGATTACAAAGAATTTATTAAAAATTATACTTTGGACAAAAATCATATAAATAGACAAAGATCCGAATTGACAGACGAGATTAATAAGTTTAAATCTTACAATAGTGGAGAGAATTTTATTACAAATTTAGAAAATTAAAAATTCTATACGTATATAATTAAATCAACAGTTAAAAATAAAAAAATATCTAAAAAACATGAAGGTGAAGACATAATGTAATATGTGTTTCTTATACGCATTTTTCACAAAATATAGGTAATTTATAAAATTTCTTTTTTACGACTGTTAGCATTTTTATAATATTTGTCATATGATATTCAATAAGGATATTTGTTCAACTTCATCAATTTCGTTACTTACTTTAATGTCGTCTTTCTCAGTTCTCCAATCGTCGGATTATAGTCCCGGTCCTCTCCGCTAATTCTTGCCACTCCTTCGTCAACGTTTACCCCATACCCGTTCACCACCAAGTCCACCAAGTCCGTGAAATCGTCGTGTTTCCTCATGGTCGACGGCGTTACCTCGCTTTTCTTAGATTTTTCATTGGTGGGCGTTACGTCGCTATTAGCCTGTTCGCGACTGCCATTACCTCGTTGAAGAAACCTCCGACGGAAATTATTGTAGACGGTATCGGCGTCCGGTGAATCGCCGATACGGACTCGCGCATGGCTGGGACTCAAGTGATGGCCGCTGTAGCCCAGGTCCATCTGCAAATCCACCACCAGCAGCAACGTGAACACGATGGCGAGCGCGCTCAGAAATAGCACAAATTTGTCGCGAATGCGGATAGGCTTGACGTTTAGCCTCATTTTCGGATTTTTATGAGATCTCTTGCCGATTGATCTTTGTCTCTTCTCACTTTTTATTAATTTCCGCTCAATTAATGGTAACTCCGATTTATCCAATTGATCGATAACAACGGAGGATTTCTGGATCAATCGTTGGTTATTTAAAGCTTCAAGATTACCGACTATCTTCGACGTGGACGAATTGTTGGTGTATTTCTTGGTGGATGAATTTTTTGTTACTTTATCGGGGTTTCTTATCTTATTAAGTGGGTTCTTCAAGATGTTTCTTTTTTCGGGATCTTCTTTAGAATGTACTATTAATGGCAGTCGTGGATCTGCAGGATTATGAAATTCGTAATTTATAAGATTAAAAGAGTTTTGTGAATCTCTTTGAATTAATTGTTGATGATATGGAGCTTGAAAATTATCAATTATCTTCCATGTAAGTAACTTATTAATATCTACTTTAGTATCTTGAGGTATCGTCGAGGTTTCTCCAGAATCTCTTATCTTAATGATTGGTTCCTTCAACGTTTCTTCGGGCTCCTGCACTTTGATGATTCGACATTTCAAGCTTTCATCAAACTCTTTAGTTACTGAATTCTTCGGATTCTTCTTAGAATCTTTATCAAAATTCGGACATTCTGACACACTTTCAACGGACCCTGCGACGGAGTCGGCTAATGAAACTTTTTCGGAGCTGTCTATTAGCTGTTCGGAACCAGGTGAAATCTTGAAGATCTCAATATGCTCCTCGAGTGGTTTCGCGATCGACTGACGTTCCGCATAGCGATTTGAAACTATAAGTTTACATGTCACGACCGAATCGTATTTATCGGCTGACCCGCTGTTATCGGATCCCGTTGACTCTTGACCCGACCAATCCTCCTCCGGCGGAGGCGATCGCTTCACTTTACAGACACTATTACTTCCTTTTCGCACTTTCTTCTCAGATCTTTGAACAGCTTGCTGAGCGTCTTTCGAAAGATAGCGTCTGTGAATGATAGATGATTGATAAGAGCGATTTATTGAATCACTTCTAACTTGTTTAAGTCTTGAAGAAGATATGAATGCTGCTTGATTATCAACAGTTAAACATGTGTTCTTTTTCGTTGAAGGTTTGTCCTGGGTGCTCGTCAGTTGCGATAGCTTATCTTCCTTCTCTGAAGTAATATCTTCTTTATTTGGAGAACACAGCTTTTTTGTCAAAGGTAAACTATTCTGGACAATGTTTTTCGTTAATTGCGATAACACATTTTTTTCAGGAATGTCTTTCTCTTTTTCCGGTAAAAAATCTTGGTTAACTGAAAAAATGACTTTCCTAGCGGGAGAATAAGGATCTTTCGTCAACGAAAAATTTTCTCGAATGTCCCTATCTATTAATTGTGAAACTACAGGAATGTCTTTCTCTTTCTCAGCTAAAGAAATAAGATCCTTCGTTAATAAAGAATCATCTTGGGCGATTCTTTCCGTTAATCGTAATTGTGGATCATTAGGAATGTCTTTTCGTGACAACAAGGAACTTTTGTCTGTTGCCTGTGAACTTTCCTCAAAATCTTTCTCTACTAAGCATACGTTTTCTTCAAAGATGCTTTTCGACAATTCTAAGTTCTTTTGAATATCTTTTTTCGTCAATTGCATTAGTGGATCAATTGAAGAATTCCTTTTTGTTAATAGCAAATTGTCATCCACATTTTTATGTATTAAATGTGGACTCTTTTCAGCATTACTTCTTGTCAGCGAATCTCCCTCTTGAACGTCCTTCTTTAAAAATAATTTAGTTTCTCCAATGCTTTTTGTAGTCAATTGGAAGATCTCATTAGCTTTAATTTTCTTCGATGACGATAAATCTTTTTCAATGCCTTTTTGGGTCAATTGTTTTTCAAGATCTGTCTTCGTCGAATACTCTTCAACATTCTTCTTTGGCAACAGAACACTTTTATTAACGTCTCTATTGGTCCCCTTTTTCTTCAATAAAGAACTGCTATGATTATCTCTTTTCACTAATGTTGCATTCTCTTGATCGTGTGTTTTGGCTAGTTCTTCCTCTTTGGCTAATAATTCTTCTTTTTGAATATTCTTTTTTACCAATAATGGACTATCCTTAATATCTTTCTTCAGCAATCGTGGACTCTCCTGTATGTCCTTCACCACTACTGGACTCTGACGATTTCTATTAGTTTTCCTTTGAACAGTCTTTTTTAGAAACAATGGAGTCTCCTCAATATTTTCCTTTAAATTACTTCTTATATCTTCTTCCTTTTCCAATATTAAACTCTGCTGATCGTTCGTATTGTCCAATAATGCTTTCTTTAGAATATTTTTCTTCGATAACAAAGAATCTTCCCGCACATCCCTCCTCAAACTTGGATTCCGCTGGGTGTTTTTCTTCAACAACGATTGACCTTCTTTAATAGTCCTCAGCAATCTGTCGCATCTCTCGCCTACATTTTCCCTTAACACTCTCTTCAAGAAACTCTCCGCTCTCCGAAATCTCCCGACATGATTTTCTCTTAACTGATCATCGATCACGTTCGTTAATTCAAAGGATCCGTCTATTACGCCCTTTCTAAAGTTCTCTGACACCTCGTCGTCATTGTTCTCATTTTCGGACTTAAATCTTCCACTTTTCGATCTAGATCCTTCGAATTTCAATTTCGATCTAAATCTTTCGTGCGACTCTCCACAATCGTATCCGCTATCTGTGTATATCGGGCGGCCGGCAGTTGCTATCTCGTTGCTGCAACTTGCACTTTCGAAACATCTCCCGTCGGCCAGAGCTCGAGATGATCCCTCGGGACGATCCGACGTTGCGACGCGTCGCCGGCGTTTTGCACGGACAGATTTTTAAAAACAGATCACTCGAGGCACTTTTACCTTGCTTTAAGCACTCACGAAAATATGCCGAAGAACTATATCACTTATTATATAAATAATTAAACAGTCGATTAAGGAATTAACTGAATCTCGAGAAAAGTGCGTGACACCGCGACACTCTGCGTTCTCACCGTCGCATCGCCTGAAACAAAGAGGAGAAAAATACCATTACTATATGGAAAATTATATAAAAATTAATACGTGGTTCGACAAAAAAACCTAAAAATGATTATTTTCTTATAAATCTTTAATATTCAATACGATTTTAAATTGAGAAATGCTCCATCATGTCACTTTTAACATTTAAGATTAAAAATATAAGCTTCTAAATGAGATAAAACTTTTCAATATATCAGCTGTAGTATAAGTACATTAAAATAAAGTACATGAAAATTTTTTTTTACAACTTATCGTAAAATTGTTCAAAGTTGTAACAAAATAGAACATTTTGAATGTCGAAATCTCTTTAATTATGCAAAATATTTTAAGTAAATGTTGCACATTTAATTAAAAAAGTATTTAAACTATTTCATTAAAAAGTTTTAAATTGCCTCCTTTGTTTTTTTTTTAGGAAGGATCAAGACAATATCTTGTCATTTAAAAGGCCTCAACAAACCATAAAATCTGGCAAACAAAATTTCCTCACTTATAATATACCTTTAATAGTTTTAGATAAACCGTGTAACACTCTATGTGAGGCACTCTATATAAAATTTTTTATCAAAAAGGAAAGAAAAAGAAAAAATTTGTGGTGTAACTAAAATTTTTTATATTACAATTACGCATGCCAATGCATTGCGTTGCGTTGCATTGCGATGCATCGTCGTGGTGTATTATGTGATGCGTGGCATGTAATTCAAGCCGATAATGAGACCGGCCAGCGTTATTTTTACGACAACGCGCAGCGGCATCCGCCGCTTTTATATCATTCTGTCGTTACTGTCATATATATTGTACACGTGCCATTTTGATATTTATATTGCACTATAGTGTGTGCACGAAATTGAATATGCAAATGGCATAGCGTGACGTATAACCATGCTGTAATCACTTGTTTTTTCCTGTTTATTTAGAGTGGTACAATCATACATATATCATCTGAATCATCTGAATCATCTAGCTATATCTAACATGTTATTAAATTTGCAAAGAAAGAGTGATAGTTGTATTAATTATCGTACCGTAATTTCTATAATTATTTTATTTTAGGATTGTTTAATCATTTTTATAGGTAAACACTATTCCTACAGTATTTTGTCGATAAATGCTATTATTATATATGCATTAATAAAATGAATAATATAACAAGTCCGAGATTTAAACATTTTATTTGATAATACTGATAACATTGGGTTGCGCGTTCTCGCATTTGTCAGTGGAATTCCAATTCTCCTAATTGCTAATTAATTAGCGAACATTAATGAGAGGCAAAAGGGCCGGAAAACCGCAAATACCACCGAGGGATCGTGTGTTATTTCGAAAACGCGATCACGTCTTCCATACAGGCGAATGGGCGAATGGTTTTACGAATCCCGCGAGCACTTTTCTTCCCGCGCGCGGAGGAACATCAATGGTCGTATATAAGTATATATGGTATCTTTATTATATCGGAATCGCGGGACACGCAGAATTTCAATGGCACCTTCAATTCCGATGCAACAACCGGCCGGCTTTTACATCGACTTTTACAGCGAGACCTCGGCTTGCATTACACGACGTAAGTACCTGTTCAGATCGCAGATTCCGGCGAAACGGTCGTCCAAAGATCGCCAATCGCATCGATAAATATTACCGATTTAAAGATGACTAGCTATTTTCTAGAACGATCCCATCATTTTCGACGATCTCACAATGTCGTTTTTACTAAAAAATCATCGTGCATCTTCGTGGATAATATTTATATAAATAAGATTTATTATATTAATCTATTTTTTAACGTATATTTATGACAATTTTGTTTTCATTTTTGCTTAATCACGTTCAGTTCAAGCAATCCTTCTGTATATTACTTTAACGGGAAACCTTATGATTTTTAATTGATTATTATAATTTTGTTTTTTCATCTCAGTATAATTTTGCAAATCTTGATCCCTGATTGCATGTATTACAATATCCACTCTAATTGGTATCGATGTCTCCTCGAGGAGACTAAAAGTGCAGTGATAAAAGAATTCGCACGCAAAAATAGCACATTATGGCTTTTTATCGTCCGCGAGGGGGTTTTGTGTTGCCGGGTCAAGGTGCGCTCTTTAAGAGAAGGGTGAAAGCGGGTGGATATCAACTGTGAAATAGAGTGACGGTAATGGGGCTGCGCGTTGCGAGAGTGGCCATTACAGTTATCGCGAAGTCGCGTCATAAAGGCGACGGTGCAAGCTATTATATATACATGTACATGCTTTTGCACGCGCGCGCGTATGTGTTTGTGTGTGTTACATATGCAACATGCACATACGATATATAAATAAGGGAAAAAGAGCGTTGTATCGAAGCAGCTGCATAATTCAATATCTCTACAGTCGCTATGCTCCGAGACGAAATCTCGAGGTCGCGCGTGCATTTCCGCGATTATCAGTTTTCACCCTTTTACCTCTTAAAGTTGTAAATAATACGGTTCTGTTTAGTATATATTTATTATACAGTCTCGTTTTTAAACCCTAAGCTAGATATCTTCGCAACTAAGAGAATACTGTCCAGACAAAACATTAAATAATCATTTTTTGCAGTTAAATAACAGGAACATATAATATTTTTACATAAAAAGATTTTACCTTTAAACCGAAATATTTAAGATTGTTTCAAGCTCAATCTCATTTTTTTTTAAACAACATGCAGACACAACAGAATGCACAATCATCAAAATATAAATACAAGAAACAAGTTATTATTATGTAAATTAAATAGAATTTAGTATCAAAAATATTTTGCAGTGATTTACTCGATACGTTTTTCTATATAACAAAATTTTACTATTCCAAATATAAAATCACGAATAAGCTATAAATGAATGATGAGAGTTTAATTAAAAATTTCAATTTTTTTCTCATTTTATTTTTAATAGACTCATGTTTTCCAATATCACGATATTCCGATGATGCACGAATCACTCACGACCTATTTCTGCACTTTGTCTTAACTTACGTCACTGCGGATCGCGACAATATTTTTGCATTTTATCATACGTTTATTTTCCGCACGATAAGGTTTCGAAAGTGCAATAGTCAGCGCGAATCTTGCCGGAAATGGAGACACTTTTATTTTGCATGTTATTCATATACATCTCTGAATACAGATATGAGTTATATAAATTATATTATTTCTGATTATACATTCGTTTTTCATACACATTCGTTTTACAATTTAATTATTACAAAGTGATACATCATATCTTTCATAATGTAGATTTTAACAAGTTAAAATTTGTAATGTAATATTAAAATTTTAATTTTTATTATACTGTTGAAAAAGATCGTTTCACAGTAAAAAAAAAAAACAGAGAAATTAGTTCTCAGCAAATAACATGAAAATGTTTAGATATGACACATACATAAAAATATCTTATGTTTTATATAATATATTGCGTTAAATATAATAAAACTTATAAGGAATAAAAAAAGACCGTAATGTTATATAAATATATATACAAGACATAATCTATTTATCCTTATCACCAGAAATATCTCCACTCTTTTTAAGAATAGAACAGAAGATGTGAGGAGATTATTCAGTTCAAGAGACTACGTATTATCGGTAATACATCCTCCTTAAGATCATTTCTTTTTCTAAATATTAAGATCATCAATTTGCATATAACAAAATATGTATAACATATAGATAATAATGTAAATAAATTTGTAGAATATTGTTATTAAATATTTTACTAACATCTATTTTATTAATTTTTATTGAAAATATTAAAAATAATTAATAAGAGACATGCATAAATTTACAAATGCATATAATGCACAATATACTTAATGCGCGAATTTTCCACGTCAAAAGAGAGAGAATAAAATAGAAACAGAGGCACTAAAAGAAGTGGTTTTTAAGAGGAACTCGATTATATGCCAACTTCGCGAAATTCCTTTCCCTCTCCCTCTGTCTTCTCCCTCGAATCCTCAGCTAGACTCTCTCACGTTTATTGAATCTCACACGGAATTTGTTTCGCAAGCAAAAAGTGGAAACCTCTGAATGCAATTTGCAACGGGCATAACGAGCTTGCCAGTGGCACGTGCCATTTTATGCTATAAAGAAGATTATTGGTGTTTAAGAAAAAGAAATGTCGACTTTACGTGAAAGAAAAAAATAAAAGATATCCGCTAATAATACTAGATACTTATTATTAACAATATATTTACTATTATTTGTAATTGTTTTTATTATAAACATTCTATAGCATCAAGTTCATAATTTCTGAAAACTTAGATTCAAGATGAAATTGCTTCGAGAAATTGTGTTTTTGAATTTATTAAATAATCTATCGTTCTATGAAATTGCCGAAGGTCTACGTGCAAATCAACTGATTTGTCTATAAAGCGCCACAATCGAGATAGTTATCCAAAAAGATAACCATAAAGTAAGAGAAAAAATTATGCAAAGGTGTCAACAATAAAAAGAATAAATTAAAAATAAGATACGACTAGTTTATAAGAAAGAATTTTGCCAAGCGTTAATTATACGTCAAAATTTCTTATCATATGCTTATTATAATAGTCACAGAATTAGAATAAAGCAGGGAAGTAAAGAAGGGAAGTGAAGAGGAAAGGATTAAGACGATTGGAATTTATATTCATTCTCGCATACACAACAACTACACACGTCGACGCCGTAACCGTGTAAGAGCGAAAGCGTTATCTTCCAGAGAGCGAAAATTGCAGTAAACCTGCAATTTAGAGCCAGTACAGTAGTCTCGTTAACACCATTTGATTGCGTCGAACAAAAGATCCTTGTTTAAGGATTATAATATGCACTTGGGATCATGAAGTCTAATATTCGTTAAATATACTTTCTAAAATTAAAATTAAATATTAATTTTTAAAAATATTAACTTAGAATATATTAATTTGTAGAAAATTTTTAAGAAGATAGAGAAAGAAAAAGAAAGAAAAAAGGATTTAAGTTGGCTAACAGATATAGTAAAACTGAACACATTATTTAAATATCAGATCACATATCTGATGAATAAAAAGAATGTCAAATCTATGACTTGTAAAAGCATTTCAACCAACTAGTTTCTACTAAACCAGACAAATTAATCGTATCGATAGTTAAATTCGTGTTAGTGAAAGTGCAAATCGTTATATTTTTTGGAAACACGTTTCGCCAATCACGCTAATTTTTTCAAAGTTGAGAGCGAGAGAAACGAGGAAATCGGGAGAAGGGATGAAGGAAGTAGAAATGTGCATTTGCACGTTCTTGCAGTCGCCTGCTTTTGCTTCGGTTTCCAGCCAGTTATCGCTTTCTTCCGTGAAACCTGTCGGCTGAATCTTTTCGCAAGACAAGTCACAGCGAAACGACATTCAATATTTACGCTCACTGATTTTCCTATAATAGAGGCCTTCCTATAAGAGACCGGCGGGGCCCCAAGGCCCCGAGATTCCCGTGAAGACGTTAGGCTATATTTATTTCTAACTACGTTTCTTATTCGCATCTTAAGAATAAAACAAACTTTAAAAAAATTAAATAAATGTTATTTATTATTATTATTATTTGATTTATTATTGTATTATAAATATATTCCATATATCTAACTTGTCCATATATCTTATTTATATATTTGTATCTTTAAAGGTATTCTGTTTTTAAAAATGAGTTATAATCGATTTTGCATTGTGTAAAATTTCTACACGATGATTTCTTGCTTTTCTTGTCTATATTATGTAATTCAATCCATTTATTAATTTGTGCATTCTAATAAAATATTAAAAAATATTAATTTAGTTTATAATATATTAATATTAATTCACGCATAAAAAATTTCTTTGATATATAATATCATTTATTGCAGTCAAAGTAATCGAAACGCCGCGTTTCTTGCAAAAACGCGAAACGAAATCGACGGTGCAAAGCATTGTTGCGCGCCGGTGAAATCGTCTTCGCGAACGCACGTCCTCGAGATGTGCACAACGGCGAAGACTAGATGCAGCCGGTGTGCGCGCATACGGCTGGATGGATAATGCGTTCTTATGCGCGAACACGTGTGTGCATCGCGCGGATTATGCAAGAGAGGCCAGGCCTCGTGCCGGGTCGCTGAGCGTTCAAGATGCATGTTAAGACGCGCGTGTTAGTCAGCCACGACGCAACCGATTACAATTGGTATAATCTTAGACGGCACACAAAAATAGTTTTACGACTTGACAGAATATTAAATGTTATAATATTATAATTAATATAATCATATTATTTGAGTAATATATAATAAATTTTTATTTATAGAATGTGCAGAATGTTTCTTAATTCTACAGCGCTCAAAATAAATAATATTTGAAATTCTTAGTTTACAAATCAAGCGATGTTATACAAATTAATTTTCATGACCCAAACTTTTGATTGTACAATTTTAGAAAGAAAAATTTTTTTCAAGTAAAAGTTGCTTACTTTTTAGAATTCGATTATATTATTTTTTAAAGTTTGTTTTCGTACTGCAAAGTTTTAGAAATTCAATTGTGGCACAGTTAAAAAAACCTCCTTATAACAAAAAATAATCCCTTGAATTTTGTATTTTTAATATATGTATTAGATATAGGGAAGAGAGATGAGTGACAGTTGGGACAATTTTGACACTTTACTTTTTGTAGCTTTTGTTTTTCAAAATTTTATGACGACAACAAGTGGGATTTATTTCTTATTGTATTCAGAAGTAATTTATATATTTTTTTTGAATATTATAGAACTTTGTTAATAAATAAGAATCTAATAAAAAAACTAATTTTGTTCTAACTCTTCCTTATATACATACCGAGGAGACTTGGGATAAAATAATAGAAATAATTATGCTATGATTTTTATTGTATTAATTTTTTTAACTAAATAAATAAAATAACTAGAAATAATAACGTCCCAACTCTCTCTCATTTGTCTTCTTTAAATTAAACGGTTGTCTTTTAGTTAGGTTAAAGATTAAAGTCAGATATTTTTTGTATTGTAAGGTTAAGGACTATACATATTAGAAAGTGTTGAATAAGATTCTTCTGAAATGTAATCATCAAAAGAGATATCAAGAGCATTAAATAGAAAAATAATTACTTTCAAAAGTAAAAAATGATTTTACTTACTTTGAATTAACTGAGTTCTTTACACAATAATGCAATTAACAAAGTTTTCTTACATCTCACATTGAAGATCATCAGGTGTATTTTAGTCATCAGATGTAGTCAAAAATATACTACCAACTGTTACAAAGAAAAAACTCTGTCCCAACTCTCCTCCGCGGTGCCAACTCGCCCTCATCTCCCCTATGTTAATCTCAAATCGGAATGTGCATTTTGCAAGTTTTACTTTTCACGGTAAAGAAAGAAAAATAAAACGCGATAAAGGATATCTCGCAATACTTGCTTCACGTATGCCACGGGGCAAAGGATAGAAAGGGATTAGGATTTATCTTTGGTTTTGCGTTGGAGGAGGAAAGGAGAAAGGATAAATGTGAAAATGTACATATTAATCCTATAAGAGTGCCTGTGGCGATTTCATTGAAATGTCGTTGTGTGAGTAGCAAAACAGCATTTGACTTAAATTCCAAATACTTTGACGTCATTTAATAAAATTAGTCACATCTTTTTCTCTTTCTCTCTCTTTTCCTTTCTTTAATAATACTTTCGAACTCTCAAAGAAAATAGACAGTTCAACAAAGTAAAAAACAAAGGATTATCATACAATTACAATTAATGTTTCGCGACCAATTATTCGAAAAGAACTTGCATTAATAAAAAGGAATCAATATATAAAAATAGTAACAATAAAAATAATTTGTTTTTATAAACAGGAATAGAAAACAAATAAACTGGTAGTGCAGAAAAATTGCTTGAAAAATTTCATAATTGAATTTTTATCGTGCAATCTTTCTGTGAATTAAAAATTTGTATCAACATAGAAAAAATATCAATAAAAACATGCAAAAAGAATATTGATATAATTAAATTGCGTTGTGCAAATAAATAAGCTCGATATTACACTATTGAGAACTTTAATTTCTAGTTATATAATGGAAGTGGTTCTTTTTTTCTGCTCAAGAAATTCCAATTGCAAAAAAAAATTTGCTACGAAGTAATAAAGAACAATGAATTTGGAAATTATAATATTTATAATATGTTATTTTTAATCGCTAACTGTAGAAATTTTTGGAAGTTTTTTGCATACATGTTATAATTAATTTGTTTCAGGATTTATTAATTTCTTTTTATTTTCGGATTCTACACGACTCGTCAGATTTTCTATCGTTAATAAGAGCAAAGAAATGTGAGAAATCATGCGAGCAAAAAAATTAAAAATAAAAGAGGAAAAAGTAAATTTATATGAACAAAGTTAAGAAACGTAACAAATGAAGAATATTGCAATTCTTGGAATGTCACAAAAATTGTAAAATAAATTATTAATTTTGTTAATATGCTATTAAATAATAAATTTAGATTTATTTTATAATTTATTCTTTTATATATATAAAAGATATGTATAATTTCTTTAATTTTATCATTACATGATTAGTTTTATTACTACATAACTAATTTATTTCCATTTATTATTTTATTGTCGTAGAAAATATGTCTGATTATTATTAATTTTATTCTAACATATAAAAAAGTAAGTTTTTAAATCTCAAAAGACTTTTATACAACACATTTTCTATTTAATTACAAAGACGCGAGAAAAAGGCTCTCGTCTTAAGGACTTTCTTAGAAGAGCTTCTCAACAACATGTCACTACTGACAAGATGCACGTTATATCCCCTTTCTGCGAAGAAGAAAAGACCGCGGATTTTATTTTTGTCTTTTTTCAAAATCAAGATATGATTTGACAACCTCGACATGAAATTATCTTTTAAATAAAAGCGGAAGCGCCAGTTTTACAATCTGTGGAGAGCGGAAATAGGATGAAAAAAATATAGAATATCAACTAAATTTGCAATGCCAAATGATAAAGTTGCAATAAAGCAAAAAAATTGTTAAATAATATAATAT